GGGCGAGAAAATTCGCGAGCCCGATGATTCATAGGATTCGCGACGTATCTCAATCCATTCTCCGCTCTCTGTATGGGTCTCTTTCACCCTTCCCGTCTATCCGTGCCTCGGAACGTGTACATTTGCCAGAAGCTCGCGTGATATTGCAGCCGAAGCGAGGAATCGCGCGCCTCCTCCACGCTCTATGGACTGCCGAAGAATCGTGATTTACGAAGCGAACACGCCAGAATATTTCTCGCATTGTCCACGTTCGGGCGATAAATCAAGTTGCGCCGCCGATGGCCATGGTGGTGGTGCACGGGGGTGGCAGGACCGGGTGCCGCGCTTTTGTAACAAAGTGCACGTCGTTAGCGATTTATGCGCTATATCGCTGGCAAACGCTGCCAAGAGCAGCGGGAGACGAAACTATCGCTCCTTTCGCCGAGGGGATTCTTCCTGGTAACTACTATGGCTCCGCCCATGTTCAAATTAATCTGGATGAATTAACGCGACCCGAATCCCTCGCCTCTTTGTTCAGGAAGCTGCGACTATTTGGAGGAAGACGTTCAAAGAAAATGTTAGGTTTTTTAACTTACGCTGGAGCCATTTGAGGAAGATGCAGAAGAGATATTTAACGTGTTGAAAGAAAATGTTAGGTTAGGTTAGGTTAGGACTGTTTTTAAAGTACTCACAAGCTGGGGCTGTTTGAAGGAAGAGGAAAAGGTCCCAAGTAGCTGAGAAAACATTTAGGACCGTTTTTAAGTTACTCACAAATTGAGGATATTTGAGGAAGATAAAGAAGACAAGGTATTTAACTTGTTATTGAGAAAATATTTAAGGACTGTTTTTAAGTTACGTACAAGTTGAGACTATTTGGGGAAGAAGAAGAAAAGGTATTTAATATGTTGTGAAAAAATTTCAGGACCGTTTTAAGTAACTCGCATGCTGGTTCTATTTGAAGGAAGAAGAGAAAGTGTTTAACGCATTGTTCAAAAGAAATGTTATGACTGTTTTTAAATTGTCTGGCAGCTGGAACTATTTACAGGAAAAGAAGATATTTAACGCATTATTAAAAGAAAATTGTATGACTGTTTTTAAATTGTCTGCAAGCTGGGACTATTTACAGGAAGAGAAGACATTTAATGCGTCGTTGAAAGAAAATTCTATGACCATGTTTAAATTATTTGCAAGCAAGGCATTTGGAAGAACAAGAGAAGGTATGTAACGCGTTGGTGAAAAGAAATGTTGGGGCTTTTTAAATTATTTGCAAGCTGAGGCTAATTGGTGAAAAATAAAGAGAAGGAATTTAACACGTTGTTGAGAAGAAATGTCAAGACTGTTTTTACGTTACCCACAAGCGGGGACTATTTACAAGAAGAGAAGTTTTTAACACGTTGGAAAGAAATATTAAGACTGTTTTCGAATTATCTGCAAGCAGGGAGTATTTAGAGAAGTAAAAGAGAATGTTAAGGTTACATCTAAATTATTTGCGAATGGAGAGTATTTAGAGGAAGCACGTTAAAAGAAAATGTTAAGACTTAAATTATCTTGAAGTTGCTTTAAGGAAGAGAAAGAATTTTGAAATCGTTTATAAATTATCTGGAAGACTATTTAGGGAAAGAACAGGAAGAAATATGTTGTGGAAAGGTTAGGTTTTTAAGCAAGGTATTTAGAGGAAGAAGTACGTTAGGAGCGTTTTAAATTACCGCGCCATTTTGTTGCCTCGAGTCGCAGCCATGAGAGGCAAAGTTTCTTTTTATCTTCGCAAATTACATGTAATACGATTTAACTGATATTTTCGAGTTTTCTTGAATAAGTTGATAGAATTTACTATGAAATGAATTAAAAAGATTTAATAGAGAATAACAATTTTTGATGATATGTGAAAGAGTATAAATATGAACATATGTATTCATATGTGCACTTATGTTTACTGTGCATAAAATGAATGAAATATTGTTGTCTGACAAAATTTATAGCCTGTTAATTATATCAAGAAATATTTTTGACGAATTATAGTGGAACAGACTCTTTGTTTATATTTTTTAAGCTATTATTATTGCATATACGTTTATTGAGATTTTTCGAGGTCCACATATGTTTTTTAACGCTGTATGGCATTTTATTTGTCAAAATTTTGGTGTATGTTGTAAAATATATTAAATATAGTACAACATGTTGTATATATTATATATATTGCATGCAATATATTGTGTAACAATAAACTCATTATTAATAACAATAAACGTGTGTATAATAATAAAATGTGTACGTACATTCCTTAGATATTCAATACGTCACCATTTAATTTTAAAAACGAAATCATGTTACGACTGCAAGTATAACGTAAATCAGATTTATAGAATAATCTTGCAATAATCTGAAGCATAATCTTGAATCGAGTTGTTGAAAGCCGAGAGATAATTTGATTTATGAAAGACCTCGTTTCCAATGAAAATTGAGTTTGAGGATAACGAGCTTTGGCAAAATAGCTTCAAATAAATGAAGATATTAATATATCCTTCAATTTAAATATGTTCGAGATGGATTTATAAGCTTCTGACTTAAAGAAATTTTCAGGAATTCCTTTGATGCTTGTATGAAAATAATAAATTGCGATAACGAATGAAAGAGGAGAGCTTAATAAGATTCTTGTAAAAAAATTATTAGATTAAGAGATCTTTTGTCGTCTTTGATTCCATTAGTAAAATAGTCTTCTCAAACAGGTCTAATATGTTGATTTAGTCACTTTAGTTGATTCTAAATCAAGTTGAACAGAAAGTAGAACTTTAATAGAATAGAACAGAACTACTATGGTAAATTACATTAAATAAAAATAAGCACAGTAGAATTAATTATTTTTTTTAAATTAAATATTTTTATAAAATTTCTTACTTAATATTGTATCTCTATTGAACACATTTCTATGAAAGACAATAAGGAAAGAAAATAAAAAAAAAACAACACAATATTTATTATAAATGAGTGCCAAAATAATTGAAGGATTTTGAATAAAAAATTTGTAAAATTATTACTTCCATAACAAATATAATAAAATAATGAAAAATATTTTTAAACAAAAGGTAAAAAATGTTCAACCCATTCTCATAAAATTTATCTTCAAATCATACGAACTTATTACTTTGCAAAATTATAGAAATTCAATATTTTGTATTTTTCTAACAGCTGCAATAATTTGCAAATAAATTCAGTTACGGTCCTTAAATATTCTCAAGAATCATACAGTGGTTGTATGATAGATTTGGAAAACCAGATGTCACACGTAACCGTAGAATATATCTAAGGAAAAGTTAATATAACTCGACAGCTAATATAACTCGGTCTGTTCCTTGCGATTAAAGTCCGCAAAATGTATTCGTGGAGAAGAGAGAGCACGTGAGATATAGCCGAATCGAGATCCCTTTCAAAGTACATAAATCATTGAAGTCCTGTTCGTATTCTACAGCTCTTCGAATACCCACATTATTTAACGTTATATCATTGCCATTATTCAACATTTGATACGGTTATGAATCGTGAATCATGAAAAAGAAGATATGTATCCTCGTTATTTACCTTTGTCACCATTTCTACTATCACTCCTGCGATCTTTGTCAGGGTGGTGAAAATGAAAGGATTCGAATACAACAATTTTTAGATTTCTAATTTTTCATAGTTTCAAATTCTCAAATTTCCAAACTTCCAAATTTTCAAGCTTCCAAATTTCCAAAGCTTCCAAATGTTCAAGCTTCCAAATTTCCAAGCTTCCAAATTTTCAAGCCTCCAAACTTCTAAGCTTCCAAATTCCCAAGCTTTCAAATTCCCAAGCTTCCAAATTCTCAAATTTCCAAATTTCCAAATTGCCAAATTTCCAAATTTCCAAATTTCCAAATTGCCAAATTTCCAAATTTCCAAATTTCCAAATTTCCAAATTGCCAAATTTCCAAATTTCCCAATTTCCAAATTCCCAAATTTTCAAATTCCCAAATTTTCAAATTCCTAAATCTCCAAATTCCCAAATCTCCAAATTCCCAAATCTTCAAATTCCCAAATCTCCAAATTCCCAAATTCCCAAATTCCCAAATCCCCAAATTTCCAAATTCCTAAATTCCCAAATCCCCAAATCCCCAAATCCCTAAATCCCCAAATTCCCAAATTCCTAAATTCCTAAATTCCCAAATCCCCAAATTCCCAAATTCCTAAATTCCGAAATCCCCAAATCCCCAAATCCCCAAATCCCCAAATCCCCAAATCCCCAAATCCCTAAATCCAAAAATTTCCAAATTTCCATATTTCCAAATCTCCAAATTAAATTTAAAGAGTAATAAATAATACTATTCACCCCACAAGCCACTAATTGAGACATCTTCCGAATACTACGAATTGTTAATACGTGTCGATATATTGATTCCTGATAAATTGTTAGGTTGCACCACACGAAATTACCGATATTTAATTAACTGACAAGTGACTCGAAGAATTTAATCAATGTAAAAACGCCGTATAATTTCTAGGCGGAATTTATAATTTAATGCCACGCAGATGAACGATTAATACCACCGATGTTAATTAAGTTTGTGGTTATAAATTTATCTTGTTTAATACTTTAAATTACTAAGAACGGTTGTACACATTTCATGAAACACTTACCAGTCGTTCTTTTCTGTATAATCTTTTCCTCGATGAGTGCCCTTACACTGACAGATGCAGTTTGCAGCGGTGGTCCAACAACCTCCTTCTTTTCACTCTTTTTGTTCTCAGCATCCTGAAACAACCACAATCATTTCCAAAAAATGTTCAAATGTTCTATAAAACTGCACTAAAATACTACATATTTTGTGAATTTTTGAAAAATGGAAATTATCAAAGTTAAAGTACATCTTTGGTAAAATGATTTAATCATGAAAAACTTCATTCCAATGTACTCGAAGACAGCATTGTCACACATTGCAGTGCTGTTTACGCGTAATTCTGCCGTACAGAGAAGCAGTAAAGTTCAGCCTAGAGGTTAAAGGGCTGCCTACTTCATCTAGAACCCAATGTGACCATCACACATTCCTCGAAACGTTTGCCTTGTCCTTGCTTTTTTAGCTCATTTGTTGTAAATGACCAATAGTTCCTACCACCGAAAGTGAGTCTAGATATCCACTTTTTATTCTGACCAACTGGGGCCTTTCATAGTCTATTTAGACCCCTGGATCAACCTTCCATACGCTAACTCCTGGGTTGTCTACATATGATGGCTTTCAGGTCAACCCAAGGTCAGAAACGAAAATACTTGGAATATTTCGTATTACTATCACTCACCGATATTTCTCATTCATACGTTTACATCTCGTGTTCAATATGACTTCCATTATCTAGAATAAACTTTTCTGCTGCATGCAATATGCTTTTGGTGGCTTTTATTGTTGTTTCAGATATGGATGCACAGGCTTTTATTTTTCGTTTCGAATCTTTGCAGAGCAGTGTATTGTAATTTATATTGTATTTAATGTTTTTTGAAATGTAATGCTACATATTTTGTCATATGAAAGAGACGAGTTTAACTGATTGTAAATACACAGTGATCTTCGTGTAAAAGTGTAACTCAAATACCCAAATTCCGTAATTGTAAAAATTACTAAAAATTCAAAAATCAATGAAATTTAAAGAATTATATAACGATGTGAAAAAGATACGTAACACTTTAACTAAAATGAAGCTTATCTTTCTTTCTAAAAAATATTAAGACTGCAATAAATTTATATGCACTTTCATATTGTTCGTAAAATCAACTATAATTTTTTATGGTTCAACCGAGTAAGAGGTAATAATATATGACATACAAAGAATTTTCTCTGGATTTTAACATTCCTAATATATTCCAATGTATCCCTGCACGTGGTCATACATCGGAAATTGAAGGGAACGATGACGATCAGCGATTACCGAAACCACCGTGCTCTCGTACCATCAAGGTATCATCAAGATGACGATGTCTGGCCACGTATCGCGTTACGGTGATGAATGTTTCCCTCGAAGGGGACTCGCTCGCAAAAGGGGACTAAGATATATGCATGTCCGACGTGGACGTATGCTAATCACTGTGGCGTCCGAAGGACTGGCACAATTAACCCTTCGTTTCATCGGGACCACCAATCTAGCCTGCTTCGATCCAAGTATCGAGATGCATTTCCGATTAACGGAGTGCTGCGTGATTGATACGCCAGGAGCACGTGAAATACTGGCTGGACTTTTCAAGTAATGGAAAATGAAGGATAAAATTGAAATTATGCACTGAATTGATTTCGTGAAGGTTGAAATTGAAGTTCTTGCATGAACTAACTTTTTTAACAAAATAAAAATTGATTTTACATAGCCTGAAATTATGGAGCAAATTTATTGTATGGAGATTGACATTGAAGATTTTAACGAATTGATTTCATGTAGGTTGAAATTAAAATTATGGAACAAATGCATTTTGTGTAGGATGACGTTGAAGATTTTGACGAATTGATTTTATGTAGGCTGAAATTAAAATTATGGAATAAATTTATTTTATGTAGGTCGACATCGGAGTTTTTGGACGGAGTGATTTTATGTAGACTAAAATTGCGGAATGAATTTATTTTATGTAGATTGAAGCTGAAATTATGGATGTATACATGTAGATTGAAATTGAAATTTTTGGACGAATTGATTTTGTGTATTTTTACTTTTTATTTATATTGCTTGAATTAATGATATATGATATCCTCAGGGAGAGGTGAATCAAATATAAAAATGTGTGTATTGTATATATGTTTTTCAATATTAAAAAGAACATATGATTTGTATATCATTGTATGAGTGTTTTTTAGTAAACAGAAGTAACTAAATTAATGTCGAATTAGTGATGTAAGTAAACTAGCATCAAATTAGTGATGTTATTAAACTGGCATCGAATCAGTGACGTAACTGAACTAGCATCGAATCAGTGATGTAACTGAACTAGCATCAAATCAGTGATGTAACTAACTAGCATTGGATTAGCAATGTAACTGGACTAGCATCGAATCAGTGATGTAATTGAACTAGCATCGAATCAGTGATGTAACTAAACTAGCATCGAATCAATAATGTAACTAAACTAACATCAAATCAGTAATGTAATTGAACTAGAATGGAATCAGTAATGTAACTGAACTAACATCGAATCAGTGATGTAACTAAACCAGTATCGAATCAGTAATGTATCTAAACCAGCATCGAATCAGTGATGTAACTAAACTAGCATCGAATCAGTAATGTAACTGAATTAGCATCGAATCAGTGATGAATCTAAACTAGCATCGAATCAGTGATGTAACTAAACCAGCATCGAATCAGTGATGTATCTAAACCAGCATCAAGTCAGTAATATATCTAAACCTTCACTAAATCAAAAACGCAACTAAACCAACACCGACCCAGAAACATAAAGTACCTAAACCAGCAATGAATCATGGTCCAAACTCTAAATTTTCTGAAAACGGAAAGGTTATTTTTCCCCACACGCCATAGCAGTTACATGACACCTTGTATATCAAACCGTCGCAAAATTGAACGCTGTCTTTGACGTGTTCGCTTCATGAATATTGATCGGTGACCGTTAATGTGCGGAATTGATTGCGGAACGTAGACTGGCTACGATTCATCAATTCGATCCGTGTCAATTCCAGTTCTGAATTCTCCACTGTGTTATAACTCTTTTACATTTTTATCTGCAGCTGGACATGTATACACTGTTATATGTGTATAATCATATGCGCTATGTATGTATAATATACGTACGTACATACATACACACATACGTACATATGTATGCACACTCTGTAATTTATGTGTACACTCAATTATATTCTGTGATATATGTACATGTTATTTTGTACACTTTGTGAAGTATATAATATACAATTTTATATAGTGACAATTTTACTGCGACATATATGCAATGCTATGTATAGTGACATACGTGTTCAGTTACATGCACACTGTGATATCTGTATGTACAATTATATATGTACATATTGTGATATGTTTACAATTATATTCATACGGTGACATGTATGTAATTGTACATGTATGTATACTGTGATGGATGTAGAATTATATATAGACTGTGACATGTATGCAATTTTACACACATGGTGACACATATGCAATTATATATATCATGTGACATAAATATGCAATTACATTCAGATTATGAGATGCATACCATTTTACACACATTGTGACATGTCTACAATTATATACACATGGCGACATATATACAATTTTACACACACAGTGACATATGTGTAATCGTACACATATCGTACTGTGATATACACATTGACATCATTATTTCAACCATTACAACTAAACAACCAAACATTGTACATTGTATGTTAACTAAAAATTGTACATTGAAACTATAGTTTATAATTATAGCAACATTAGCTAAATAAGAAAGGTAATAAAAAAAGCAAATGAAATTTATACAGAAATGCAAAGTGAAGTAGAGTAAAAGAGAGAAAATAAAAAGAGATAGAATCGCGGATAACCAGACCGGGTCATTTCCGTTCAACTTTCCGCTGTTTATCTTTCAAAGGCGATCAAGCGAATTCTGTTTGTTCGAGGATTTAAGCTTTAATTGCCCGGTGGGCGATGTTGGAACGCGGCGGGGCAGATCCGCGCGAAAAATATTCACCGCCGCGCCGCTTTGTATTACTCGAAAGTGTCGACGAATCCCTTAATCCCTTTTCCCGCGTAACGTCAACCAGCAAACCCTTAAAACCCCCTCTGGTCCAACAATTTTCGAGCGAAAAATTCAGACACATCTGCGAGTTTCACGGGAAAAAGGTACGACCGCCGCCGTTCGTTCGGGTCCCTTTTGATTCTCGACGTACGCGAACACGCGTTAATCTGGCTATATCTGGATGAAAAACCATTCGAAACTTTTCGATAATCCTCGAACGTGGCCGACGTCTCATCCCGCTGGTTTTATGGGGAAAAAACATTGCTTCGTGCGGTGAAATAATGGGTTACAGTTGTAAAATCGTGCATGATTCAGAGTTGCAGAAATGGAAAACGAAGAAACTTTTCAGACGTTGTATTATATACAATACAATACAATTACAAATTTAAATAAAAAGGAGAGTAAAATATACAAAACGTAAGAGGAAGATATAAATGGTAATATTTAGAAATATGTGACATATGTAATAAAGGAAACATGTAAAGAGAGAATGAAAAATTAATCACAATAGTAAGTCAATTCACATCTTGCAATAGTACCTTCATTACCAGACATTTTTATAAATCAAAGAGTAAGATATTAAAATATCTCATCAAGTATTAACAAAATTGGCTAAATGGTTCATATATTTAGTGTAGGTTCATCAGAAATAATTTGATTATTCAGATTCATTAGAAATAATTTTACAATACCTACATTTACTCATATACGTACATTTCCACATACGTACATTCACAAATATCTACATATCTAAATTCCTATATTCTCAAATCCATACATCCTTAAATCCCTACATTTCGAAATCCCTACACCCCAAAATCTCTATATTCTTAACTCACGACACCTCCAAATTGCTAAATTGCCAAATTTCAACGTCTCCAAATCCCTATATACCCAAATCCTTATATTCCCAAATCTCTACACCCCCAAATCTCTATATTCTTAAATCTCGACACCCCTAAATTGCTAAATTGCCAAATTTCAACGTCTCCAAATCCCTATATCCCCAAATCCATATGTTCCCAAATCCCTACATCCCCAAATCTCCAAATCTCCAAATCCCTAAATATCCAAATCCATATGTTCCCAAATCCCTATATTCCCAACTCCCTATATCCCCAAATCTCTACATCCTCAAATCCCTACACCCCAAAATCTCTATATTCTTAAATCTCGACACCCCTAAATTGCTAAATTGCCAAATTTCAACGTCTCCAAATCCCTATATCCCCAAATCCCCACATCTTCAAATCCCACCACCTCAAAATCCCTACATCCCCAAATTCCTAAACCTTGAAACTCCCAAATTTCCACCCCACAACTCCCCAAAATACCCAAACCTCCCTAAAAGAAAACGCTTCCTCCCCTAATCCCCTAATCCGATAATCCACCTCACCCACAAAAATCACGAACCACGTTTCTAAAAAAGAAGAACATTTGTCTTCGAAAATGAACGATCAATTTCAGCGTTAACGAGCGTCGACAGGTTTCCCCGTCCGAAGAGGGCAGAAGTTAAAAACGATTCGATCGAGCAAAGAGATAAAACGAGGGTGAATGGAAAGGTAAGGCGATGATCGAATCCAAATGAACCCATTAACAAGCTCTCTGCATTCCATCGGATCTGGCTGGCAATTCGTGGCAGAGACGGAAAGATTGGGTGAGCACGGTCGGAGAGGCTCGTGCAAACATTGTCTCGAGCTTTCTCCATTATGTAGATTGAATCTGAACCCGGTTAACGGCGGGGTTTTCAACGCCGGTAGCTCCCGTTTCGAGTTTTCAGCCAGTCTGGACTACGCGCATCCGGTTTCACGTCCAGCCTTCCGTTCATGCGACTGCGTCCAGATCCATTCATTTTCATTTGTGTACATACATTCATATTCATGGTAGCGGCTCCTTTATGCTCGCGATTGTGCTTGTTGGAAGAACGACGCGTTCGGGGACACGCAAACGAACGTTTCATGGTGTTCCAGGGACGATGGTGTACACTCGGGGGCAACGGGGCTTTTTTGGGGAGGAAGAGAATTATTTAAATTCCAGGTCCATCACGTCAATTTTTACGTTATTAACCTTTCAAATTTTTGGGTACCTCAGTTTCGAATTTTGGAATTTTTTCATTTACAATTTTTTAATTTTTACCTTCTCAAGTTTTTATACTTTCATATTTTTAAATTTGTACATTTTTCAATTCATCTATTTTGTCATATATTTGCTTTTTTGTACGAAATACCTATTTCACTAGATTTATATATATATATATATATATATATGTATATGCACACATGTATGAAATGTATGGACATGTATGTACGGACATATGTCCATACATCCTTAGATCAACTTAACATCACCTGAAATAACATCAGTAATAGGGAGTATCAAAAATAGTGAGAATCGATAATAACCGTCGATCACGTTACTATCAAAGTATCAGAACGTAACAGGAACATCGGATGCATTTTATCAAATCGATGGCTACAGGAACCGAGTTATTATTCAAAAATCGACAACATCGAACTCGACGAGTTGGTTCGTTCAATCTCGGCCGTATCTAGATCGCGAGAACAGGCTCGAAGGGGTGAAACTTTTCTCGAGAATCTCTTTCAGCACTTTCCTATAAACGACACTGGCGTTCGTTAAGACATTTTTAATCAGCGAGGAAAGAGAGTTCCGTAGGCGACCGAAGGAAGGGAAACTGATTCAGTGAAGTTGGACGAAGAGGACGACAGAATCGCTGATCTTTCCATTCCGACGACTGCGACAGCCAGACTATTCCTTGACCTTATTAAGAGTCTCTCTGTTCGGACTTTCCACTCACGGAAGCGAAGAAAAGAAGCGAGCTGAAGCCGAGGCTGATCCCTTCCAGAGATTCCATCTCTGATTTCTTTTCGCCTAGCCTCCGCCTCCTTTCCTTTCTTTTTAACACACCGCGACGATTGTCCTGTCCAGACGCAACGGGATGAAAAACGATCAACCGTGAACGTGACGTTCGCCAACGATGTAAGTGTTGGGTGGTTGTGCTGTTTATGGGGAAAGGGAGGGTGGTGCACGGAAATAAACAAGACTTCGATAAAATACTTCTAGTATTTAGTGACGGAGATTTAGTAACGGAGTGGACTGTGTGAAGGTTGAACTCTTTACCTGTAAGCTGAGGTCGAGGAAAGAATTAAGCGATGTAGGGGTGTTGAGATTTAGGTTGGTAGAGGGTGGCGGGAGTGCATAATGAGAAATTTTGGGACTTAGAACGGAGGTAATTTATGGTTCAGAGGACCTTGAGACCCAGAAGCTGTTTCAGAGAGGAAAAACTTGGAAAAGGTCTTAGATGAACAGATGCCTAATTTCTAGAGGACAAAATATGCTAGGGAAGGTTAAGGTCTTCAGGAGTATCCGACATTAAATATAATTTTTCTTTAGGAGTTATCTTCGAGGCACAACTTTATTCTTTAATTACATATATTACTATTACTATCTCGTTATGTTTTTTCATCGTTTGTTTCTCGATCCACAATTAATTTTTCCGTCAGTTACAGACAAACGAAAGAGAAAATTCGGCTACCCTAACCACCAGCGATGGAGAGCTGAGATTATTTGCATACGATTGCCCAGATGTGAGTACAACCGTCCATAACACTTTCTGTATCCTGTTTATTACAAGCTTTATTTATACAAAAACGGTGAATTATTCGGATCGATGTACTGCGACTTTATTGATCTAAAAATAAAAAGTAACGAAGTTTGTTAGCTGCTGATCGTAACTCAATGTCGCTTCTTTTTTGACTAGGATTATACGTTAATATAATAACATTGATCGTTTTAATATATCTCCTTTTCTTTTTTTTTATTGGAGAAAGAAAGCATAGACCGATCGTTGAGTGTTATACATAGATAACTATCGAGATTACTACTGTCTCTGTATCCGAGCATATATTCTACTTATCGATTGGCATCAAGTACGAAACTTTTTAACAATGTGCATTAATTGATAATATTTTATTTTTTTTATTGGTGTTTATGTTGAAGTTATTACGTTAAGTAAATTTTTAAGCAAAATTTGTATGGATAAAAATTGGAAAGTTGGGAGTTTGACAATTTGGAAATTTGGGGGTTTGAAAGTTTGGAATTTGATTATTTAGAAAATTGTGATATTTATGGAATCTGTAAAATCTGTGAATTTTGAAAAAATTGTAAAATTTGTGTTTGAAGAAAAAATCGTAGAACTTGTAAAATTTATGAAATTTATAAAACTTCAGAAATTTGTTGCAATTTATGAAATTTGACAAATTCGTCAAATTTAGATAATTTGTGAAACTTAGAAAAATTCCAATAGCTCGTGAAACCTAGGAAAATTTCGATAACTCGTGAAATATTGAAAATTACCAGAAAATTTCGGTGATTCGCAAAATTTGAGAGATCCAAAAAATGTAAAAATGTAGAACCTTGAAGCATCGTATCTATTTCACCGTATCAAACGCAAACTGCCCGAAAACCGCGCTAAACAAAAATTCAAAATTATCCTCTCACGAAATCCGATTTTGTAGAAATCGTCGGTTGATTACATTTCCACCGGCGGGATTTTCACGGAATCACCGACTGATTACACCGGAAGCGCCCCTCGCGAGTTTCTACGATTGCGAATTCATATGGTAATGTGTCTAAACCTCGCTCGTCGACGTAGCCTTTGGTAAACTTCGTGAAATTCTTCTTGAAAATTCAATTCTGCTCGCGGTTTGTAACGTGCTTCGTGGAAGAGGTAAGCAAACCTGGATTACGTATAATTCTCGTCTCGAGACTGTCTCGAGGAGCAACTGACGAAACACCGTGATTCAAATCAACATATTAGTATGAATACCTTTTTCATCATATTATTTCATTCTTCTCTTTCTTTCAATTTTTCTACAGAAATTTTATGATGAGAAATATTCATGTGTTTTTCTGAGAAATTTAATGATGAAAAATATTCATGCAGTTTTTTAGAAAATTTAATGATCAAAAATATTAATGCATCATTTTAGAAAATTTAATGGTTAAAAATATTAATGTGTCTCTTTAGAAAATTTTATAAATTACAAACGATTGTATCAAGCTTAAATAAATATTATTTATATATTTTTGTGTATAATGATGTGAAAATATACTAATTGATTGTGAGTCAAAAATTGTAACAATTTAATTCTTTTTATTATGCACATTTTCAGGGTTCCATTGTCATATTGGCAGAAATATAAGTAATATTAAAATTGTATTGAAATACTGGTAAACACAAAATGTCAAGGTTATACTGACATATTGACAAACATATGAGTCGTATTAAACTTCAACTGAAATGTTGATGAACATACAATGTCAAGGTTACACTGACATATTGACAAACACATGAGTCATATTAAACTTCAACTGAAATGTTGATGAACATATAATGTCAAGGTTATACTAACATATTGACAAACACATGAGTCATATTAAACTTTAACTGAAATGTTGATGAACATACAATGTCAAGGTTACACTGACATATTAACAAACACATGAGTGTTATTAAACTTCAACTGAAATGTTGATGAACATACAATGACAAGGTTATACTGACATATTGACAAACATATGAGTCATATTAAACTTCAACTGATATGTTGATGAACACAAAATACCAAGATTAAAATACCTCACACATCAACAAATAATGTCAAAGTTATAACTCACTGTACATAAAAAAATGTGAATTACATTCACACAAAAAATATCACTTACATTCACACATTTACAAACATGTACCACAAATAATATCATAAATGTCAATGTTAATCTTCCAGTGACAAAGAGTTAAATTACATAAAAATGATTTATCAAATAAGATGAAACTTACCTTTTTGAAGTAACCGCCATGCAGTCTCATATGACCATTGAGAGCCGGTATGTTTTTGAATTTCCGATGGCACAAATTGCACTCGACCGGTTTAGGTTCGGTTTGTGATTTGTTCGCTGCTGTTACAGTTCCAGGAGATGCCGAATTTCCCGGCGAGGGACTACTTTTCCCCACATTTCCACCTCCTGGGGAGTTAGCTTGCTGTTGTTGCTGCTGATGCTGCTGTTGGGGCTGCTGCTGCTGCTGCTGGACCTGCTGCTGCGCTTGCTGCTGTTGTTGCTGAAACAGAAATATATGAAATTCTATTATTATTAGTCTTAAAAATTCTATTAAACTAATCCTATATGAAAAGACAAGATAAATTATTCTTATATTAAAAAATGAGGCAAGTCTTGCACAAAAAAGTACGCTAAAAGAATGATTCTTAAAAGCAAATTACTAAAATTGACTTAAAAGTAAATTCTCTTCAAATCCAGGTAAAAAGATGCAAGTAGAAAAAATAAATAAATATTATAATTAAATCCTCGAGTAACAGTAAAAATTAGTCTTAAAAATTCTATTAAACTAATCCTATATGAAAAGACAAGATAAATTATTCTTATATTAAAAAATGAGGCAAGTCTTGCACAAAAAAGTACGCTAAAAGAATGATTCTTAAAAGCAAATTACTAAAATTGACTTAAAAGTAAATTCTCTTCAAATCCAGGTAAAAAGATGCAAGTAGAAAAAATAAATAAATATTATAATTAAACCCTCGAGTAACAGTAAAAATTTCAATAAAACAACAAATGAGATTTCCATAAGAAAAGTTAAGTCAAGGGTACAAACACCTTGGTTAACAAAGGCGTAAAGTACTCGCACCTCGTACAATTAATGGAAACATCTTGCGACTCGAGTACTCTTCCCTTGAACTTTGAAGAATCAAATGCACTCGAGCCGCGATTACCATAAAATTCAATATTCAATTGAGGTCTCGATCGATTGTTGTCACAGGGCCCTTTAAATATACGACGATCTAACGTTTCGCCTAAGAGAACTCGAGGTAAGCATGAAAAATAGTCCGGTCGAAATTTATGCTTCCATCGTTCTGTTATTCTTTTCAGAGTGCTGAATTAATGGAGCACTTGCTCGAAAGGGCAAAATTTATTTTCCTCGAAGAAAAATTAATTCTGGGAGAGAAAAAATGATGTGCAGACAAAGGACGCTGAACACACGTTCCCAGTGGAATATTCAGCGGAACAGCAATTACGTTTGCAGCTGAAAAACATAAAACAGCTATGATTGGGTTCCGATCGGACAGAAGCCCGCGCTCAAACGAAAATTAATCTTCATTTAATTTCATTGTAATTCCGACGCGCGCTAATTCGCGTCACGAATTTTCGAAACGATCGATTTTGTTCGCCCCTGTGAAATCGAATATCAAAGACTCTTTGAAACCGTATCGTTTGTCTACGAATCGATAAAACGACGATTTACGTCCGCTATTTTTCCTTAATGCGCTTCGAATATTTATCGTCGATTAATTCGTTGATGTCTTGGAAAATGAATATCGGCAATAACGTAGAATATCGGTTATTAATGTAATCAAGTTTAAAAAGTAGTAAATTGCGAATTTCGTGTAATTTATTTATTCTACGCTTACAGATATGTAAATTACATGGTACATTATTGTAATTTATACAAATGTAAATTATGAATATGTAAATTAACGTGAATTGTGTTACAGTGCTAGGATGCTTTTGTAGAAATGACTGTTATTGAGATAAAGAGTACACGATAATTCTCCGTACTTTATTTCGTTAATTTAAAATTTTCAATGTGGGCGCAAGTTCAAGTTTTGGGGTTAAATTAATTTATTTTCAATTTTCTATAATTTAGAAAACTATAGATTCCAAGTTCTCATAATAACTAGTTATTTAGCTGTAGTTATTGTAGTTATTTCACGGTTATTTAGTTATAATTATTACAGTCATTTAACAGTTACTTAGTTGTCATCATTGTTGCTAATTTACACACATTTTTATGCTATAAGATCATTTAAATTTTGCAAATTTTTATACTTCATTTTGGTCGACATTTTGTAAATTTCGTTCGTCTGAATTATGATCGATTTTACTACTGTCGCTGGAGACTTAAGTAGTAGAGGCACGTAGATGGTCAGACATGAGTACAAACACAAATAGAAATTAACAAAAATGAAATATTTCAGTCTCTTCGTTGAAATATAAAGCATTACCTCAAATGTAATACTACATAGTCCATTTTGTAATACATTTTAATTGTAATATACTACAAAATTTAGTACAGTAAATAAAATTTCAAATTCTACAACTTCAGTAAACCCAAATAAATTAAAAAATACTGCGTAATTATTTCTTTCATTGCAAAAGGTGTTTTCGACTTACACTCTCGCGTTTACAGATTTCGCAGAAGAGACAATGTCGGCGAAGAAGCGAAGCAAAGGAGAGGAAAGGGTAATTGGACGTTGAAGGAGAGACGAAGAAATAGCAGAATTATGGCGAGAAAGGATTCTTTGCATGTAAGCATTGTTCTGTTTGGTGAATGAGGAGGGCCGATTATGGAAGCAATTTATTCTCAAATGAAATTGAAATTATTCTTCGATGAGGATTGCCGCTGGCCAACAGCCGTGAGAAATGCGTTTCATTTAATACTGCGCGAGATTCTTCGCTGATTTCTTGGTTCATTCTGTTAGGTTAGGTGGTGCTGTGTAATCTGTTTGCTGAGAATTGTATGAATTTTTAATTTTTTGGAGCGAGATAGGGTAAATGGATATGATATTGCGAAAATATATGCTGGTTTAATTAAAGTTCGTGGACAATCCTAAATTTCAGGTGGACAATAGAACACAGTGAGAATAGAATAAAGTAAAAATGAAATATTTATTTTAATTAACTGTTGGTACAATTGTATCATTTAATTTAATATTTAGTCCTTAGAATTATTTCTTTATTATGTAATTTTTTATTTGTTATTTAGAAATATTTTTTTACTATCTAATTTTTAATTTCATTTACAGAAATATTTTTATTTTATTCAGATACTGTATTTAGTGTTTAGAAGTATTTTTATATATTTTAATTTTGTATTCAAGATTTAAAGAATGTTTGGAGTACTTAATTTTATATATAATATTCAAAAATATTTTGTACAATCAAATTTTGTGTTTAGCATTCAAAAATATTTTTATTCTATCAATTTGCATATTTAATATGTAAAAACACTTTTACATTTTCTAATTCAGATTACATCACATTCACAATATCTATTTTAATATTTACAATTTTTTTTACTATTTAATTCTGTATCTAGCATATACTTCTGCAATACTTACAAAGCTTTGTATACGTGCGAAATAAAATAAAAAAGTGTTGTGTAAAAAAAAGATAATATTAAGTGAAAGAGGTTTAAAGCCGAGAATAAAGGAGAACCAAGAAGAATCCCAGCGTTAGATAGTGGATTGCTCACGAGGGCCGTTGCAAGATTGAACCACTATCTTGGCTGTTTCTGGCATGTATGATTAAATTAGAACAATGCTGGCATAACTTCTACTACCCGTTTATTCCTCCAAGTACTCTCTGCCAGTTTACCACTTACTGGATGTTAGTAGTTTAGAAACTCTCGTCTCTTCTCTCATGTATGTACTTGCGCTCACTCTTCCTGCTTTATCTCTGTTCTTCTGTTGTTGTCACCCTTAAACCCTTTAATAACTTCAACTTCTAATCTAATATTATTACGCTATTATCTTCTTTAAACAACTATTAATATTTTAGTTTTGAAATACAGTTTACTGTTGTTAGTGAAATAATATATCATTGGTCAGACATTTTATTGGGATCAAAAATGAAATTATTTGAAACGAAGTTTTTGCTTAATTATTGTTATACTTGTATTTTTTGTGAATTGGTAGGGACATTTTGAAGAACAATCTTGCAGAATAATCTTTTGATACAGAAGAACAATTTATGTACAGTCTATTTGATTTTTAGAGAGTTGCTAGTGAAATGATACCTCATTGATCAGACACTTTATTAGAATGAGGGATGAAATTATTGAAATCAAAGTTTTGATGCAATTATTGTTGCACTAGTAGTTCTTATAAATCAGTACTAAGCTTTCAACTGCATAAGACTAATTTGTATGCTGTTTTTTATTAGTAAAAACAGTTGCAAGTGAAACAATACCATATTGGTCAGACATCTTGCTACAATAAGGGATGAAATGACTAGAACTAAAGTTTTGATTGAATTATTATTACACAAGTATTTTTTTATATATTATCATCAATATTTTGACTGCAAAAGACCAAGTCAAATACAATTTACTCGTTGTCAGAAATATATGCTAATCAAACCTTTTTGCCCAAAAATTTTATTGCAACGAAACATGAAATCAAAACCGAACTTCTCTAAACATCAACACAACAATTTTAAATAAATATTATTCAACAATACCTCCAATATTAAATTCGACATTAAAATACAAAAAAGACAATTAATAGTTAACAACTGTTTTTTATTTATCAGAGAAAATTTTTACATCAACGAGAAAAATAATCTTCATACCACAAAAATATCTCTGACAGCAAACGTGCGAAATAAGAAAATACGTTACCAAAGTGTACACTTAACTTTCAGTCTGTTTGTAAATTATGCATACACAAACTACTGGGGTTTTATCGTAGCTACAGTGTTCTTGTGTAAAGAAACGGCTGTCGCGTTCCCAACAGACACGATGACCCTTTTAATACACCCTAACGCGTGCCAGCTACCAGCTTGTCCCAACAGCCAGGTATATAATTGAAAAAGTAATATGAAGTTCCGCAAAACGGCCAGTTCCTTAGGTACACCAACTTTAACATCTACTCTGACTTTCAGGGAGTCAAGCTTTCACGAAATTTTTATGAAAGTAACCTTCGTTTTGAAGGGAAACTGTTGAGGAAGTCAAAGGATCTAATAAACATGATTAATTAGAATGTTTAGAGAAATCTTTTTATGTAAAGATTACTGTAGTTTTTATAGTTTTAGTGGATTTACTGGGTTTACTGGATTTTTGATAGTTTAAAATTGAAGATGGGGAAATTATGGTGAATTTAAGTAAAATTTTTGGGGTGCTTGGAGGAATTAGGATGTAAAGTGATTTTCTAGGAAATTGTGATAGAAATTTTTGGTTTGAAGGGTAATGGTAGTATTTTTTCAATTTCTCAATTTTCCAATTTTCCAATTTTCCAATTTTCCAATTTGCCAAATT